TCTTTCCCTTTTCTCCTTTAATTTGCTTCCTCATCCTCCCGGGGTGAGGGAGGGTTAGTGAGCAGCTGTGTGGCATTTAGTTGCCGGCCCAGCCAAAACCACGACAGACTGCTAATTTCATGAAGCCAAAAACTGTTCATTATCATAAGCAGAGCAAGAAAAACAGGCTGATGCCCACTGTTGGCTCAGTGGCCTACTTCTCCCTTCCCTTCTTTTGCAGGCTTATTAACAATTTTTCCCTTGTGTGAAGTGCTGATAGACTGGGTCCTCAGTAATGAGTCATTCCCAAGGAAAATCATTTTTCAGTTTCCAAATTCAGCACAAATTAGGCAATTTTCCCAACTGGTATTACATGTAATTCAGGAGGTAAATCTTAGCATCTCTAATTTCTCAATGGCCTGTGGCTCCACGCTAGATAGAAGCTGTGGCAGAGCAGTAACCCAGGCTTCTAAATCTATAAACTAATTTTCTTGTTCCACTAAAAAGGGTTGAGGGAGTTTTTTGTCTCTTGTAACATGCAGGAAATTATTTCTCTTTAGGTTTTTTCCCCTCATACAGGGAAATAAGAGGATGAACTTGGGCAACAGAAGTATGAATAACGGGCTGCAATTACAGCCATGCTAAAAAAGACAGCTGATCAGTTAGATCACATATTTCTGTAATTGCAAGATTTTTCCTAGGCAGACACTGAAATTCATGCCAAAATGACTTGCTAAACCCAAGACTTTCAAGTATTACAACATTATGCTCTTGCATCAGTTTTTTTGTTTAGATGATAATTTATTTTACAAGGAGGTCATTATTACTATTACTGTAAGGACCTGACTAGAAACCCATTAAGTATCTTCGAGTTCATGCCACAGGCCAGAAATGAGACTTCCTTTCATATCTTCAAGTTTCCTGGTCAGTGTTATAATCACTATTGCTCTCTGAATTAAGCCGCTAAAAAAAAACCAACTTCAGTATTTGCTGACATTTTCCATGGTTATTAATAATACATTAATAAAGCAATTAGCATACCTGTGGAACGCCCAATTTTTTACAAGCATCAAGAAAGTTTTCCACATTTCTTCGGCACTTTGCCATGCTGAGTTTAGGCTGTAAAGACAGGATGTTAGGTCTTCATCATACATTTGTGAAAGATTGTATGTTTCTGATACAAGTTCAGTAACAGTTGCTAAAACACAAAACAAATTCTATGAAGACTCTGTATACGAAAATAGCTCATGAGCCTCGTTTAGTGCTTCTTGCAGAAAAACTGAAGTGAGGAACGTAGCCTATTAATACGGTAAACATGATTCATGATGTTTTAGTATTGTTTTCACACAAGATGCAGCAGAAGCGAGATCAGTGACTTACCACTGCTGGCGATGGAACATGAATGCTGGCAACAGAACGCGGCCTTATGTGATTGGCTAAATGGCAAAGAACTACTCCATCCATCAATGCTGCTCCGATGTCGTCTGGCAAAATTACCTTTAACCTTGACTCAAGATTCTATTGAAAAGTCCGTAAGTTACTTTCAACATTAGCTAATGTTTAATTTTAAATCCAGGCTATTTCAAAGCATTCAAGTTGAAAGAGACATTTTAATACTAATTGAAGTAAACAGTCAACTCACACTTTACTGAGTACAAATATCCTTTTCTCTATTATTAACCTTAAATTCCCTTTGCTTGCTTCTTGTGTTTTTTTTTTTTTTTTAACTCTCAACTACATTGAGAAAGACATCCAGCCAAACTACCATGATACATTGCTCTCAAAGCCACACGATGAACCAACTACTCATAATAGAAAAGCACAGAATTTAAGGACAGAAACATTAGGCTGAATATCTCATTAACTGCTAGTGTGCAAAATTTGTGGGTTGAAGTCATACAAAATTTTACTAGGAGAAGGAGGAAAAAAAAGTTAAAAAAAAGAGAACACAACCACTTTAGGCATGGCTATTTCACTCATGCAGATGACAGTTAAATAGCTGAGGAAAGGGTGGCCAAGAAGTGCCCAAACTTGTGTGGCAAAACAGAGAATCGAAGCGAGGAATGTTTTTTCCCCCTCCAGCAACAAGACTTCACTGCTCAGGAAGTGAATCAGATAACAGAGAACAGCCTTCATAGAAGTCACATCCCAAATTAGTACTGCCCTGGAAAGCACAGCTGCTAAGATTTACAGTTAACTACAACTGCTAAATATCTTGAGAACAGAACTACTCAGAAAACAACTTACTGGAAGTCTGAAATTTACATCCCTTGTAGCAACTTCCTACACTCAAAAAGCATTTGGCTATTCATGAGACTATGACCATCTTTCTTCAAATCTCAGGTCAAACACCAGCAAACAGAAGCAGATTTACTCTCTCCCTGCAAAAATCTAAAGCCTCAGAAACGGAAAAAAAAATTCATTTTGTTTCATTTTTCAGCTAAAAAAACACATTTAGTTCCTGGTTAGTATTTCGGTTGGACCAAAAATAGTACCAGTGTAGTCTGTTACATGAAATTCCTTAGGAAGAAACATCACCACAGGGATGCCCTTGTACAACTGTACAATTTGCAGGCCTTTATTATAAAGGTTTAAATTGTGGCACAGAGCAAACTAAAGGCACTGCACCCATATAGTAAATAATGATACATACATTGCGAAGTTGTCTTATTTGTTCCCTTTCTTCCCTTAAATGTTCCATTTTCCTCCTCATTGTAAATCCAGGATCCACTGCACCATAGTCCTGGCGAGATGCACGGCTGAAAGCTATTAAACATTAGTGAAGATAATTTTCAGAATTCAATTAAAAACCCGCAATGACTAAATACCTACCAGCACGGACAAAAATGGGAAAAAGCTGCAGAACCTTTCAGAACAAATACATTTAAGTATACTGATGCAAAAGATACTCTCTATGAAACTTATCTTTCAAATAAAATACACAGATCACCTTAGTTAAGTGCAAATAGATAACTAGAAAATATAGGTCAAATTTGACTTCAATATTCAAATGTATGTTAGAGACATACAACTCCATTTGCACTTTCCAAGCGTATCTTGCAATGTAGCTCTGAAAGTATTTTCCTTGTGTTTTACTTTTAATCAAGCATAAAGCCTTCATTATGGAGACTAAAAAAAGGAACAGAACTTCCTGATATAACTTACAACGAAAGACTTAAAATATACACACACACATATGGGTATGTGTTAGGTGTGCATATGCAGAGACACAGTGATTACTCATTAAAGAACTAATTGAAAAATATGAAATGTCTCATTTAAAAGTTCAGAGTTCTTTAAAAAGGAGGTGTGTTAAATAATTACATTCACTTTACTGTTCTTCATTGTCAGAAAGCCTTTAAATGACACCACTATTATTTTATAGAACACTGGTAAATAAAAACTCTTCTGTAGCAATACCACTGTATTCTTAAGAATTCTATCCCATGCTTTTGAGAAAAAAAGAAATAGAAAAAAAATCAATACTTACACCTTTAGAACTTTCTACACTGTTTCTAATAGTTTAGATTTTAGCAAGAGATCTAATAATCAAAAATAACAGAAATTTTACGGATACTCTTGAAATCACTGCTTTGATTTTGTTAATCATGAGAGTATGTAGATTGTACACACAAAAATAGAAATACATCATGCGTGTGTGTAAAGCCACAAAGATTTTGGCTTATAACTAACAAACAAAATGCTGTTCACTTTCTTAGAACTGAGTGAAAAGGGTGCTGTTTTACAGCCCTGAGCTAGCAGCGGCTCCTAGGAAGCCCACTACAGCACTGAGAAAAGATGGGCTGAAGAGTCCTAACAAGCCTGCTTCCTCCTATCAAGTCTGCACCTTCCTGCACCCAAGGATATAGATAACTCAGAAGCCTCTGAATTATCACAGCCAGGCATGTCCTGGTACATGCAACTAACTTCACTGTGCCTTCTCTGGCACAGAAGTTTCATGCAACTGCTTACAAATCTCAAGTGACTTCAGGTCCCTGAAGAAGCCACTTGCATGACCTCAGCCAGACACACTCTACTACTCAGGGCTCCCAGGCTAGTATTAAGGAGGTCAAGCTTTGCTACTGTGAACACTGAACGAAACTGAACTGAAGAGTTTAGATTCTTTCTTAATGAATTTGCACAAAGACTGTTCCCCTAAAACAGAGAACAGTGGTATTAACTGCAAAAAAGAATTGCACAGTGGCTCTTCTAAACTAGGTTTTACACGGTTGACATCCAATATTCACATAGACACTTGCAAACAAAAGAATACTGTAATTGAAAAAAAAAATTTCTACCTAGAGTTCAGAGGACTGAAAGTCTGCTTTAGACAAAACAACTTTCTTATGAGGGTATGGCAGAGCCTTGGAAGAGTCAAGGTGCAACAAAGCACTAAGCCATACAACTCCTGGCAAAGCTCTTCTCAAAGCACCCCTTCACAGGACAATTTACAGAAATCTGCTTCTCTTGAAATCCTCCTGACTCAGCAGCTCTCTATGTCTTTCCCAATACTATGCTTGTGATAAGCACACCGAGTGGATTGCTGCACTGTGGTGTCTCTTCATATTCACTCCAGTTCATGCATCTGCTATCCTTACCATCTATCCCAGCCCAGGAAATAAACACCTGTTCTACCATGCTATGTTAGAGAACAGCAGCTTACCTGACCTTGGTTTGAGACCAAATGGGCCATGAGTATTACTGTCTGTCCTTTCATAATCCTGTTAAAAGAGATAAAGTCAATTTCCTTCCATTCATTAAAAGAATTAACTTTTGTTCTCATCAAGATAGTGTTTTAATTATTCTTGCCTAAGAAAAGTAAGTCCTTCTCCTTAACTGTTACACTCTTTTGAAGGGGACGGTATAAAACAAATGGAATGAAAGTAACCTCGCTACATGTAGATAAAAACATCTTACTGAGGAAGAAAAACAGCACCAGATTAACAAAAATCTACTCTAAACCATTTCAAACTACTGCAACCATTCTGTGAACAGAGTTCTAAGCCAGCTGTAAGCAAACGCAAATATCCTCCCAATGCTTAGCATCAAAATACTTCTTAAGAAATGTTTACTTTCAATTATGAATATCAGTTTTTTTTCATTTCACCATCTAAAAAGAGATATGCCCTCAGTAATTGGGTATGTACATGAGATATCCTTATTTCAACTCATTTCACTGTATTTGGGAAACGTTCTCATTCTGCTCCCTCAAGTTCCTTATTGACAGGAGGTGGAAATGTTAATAATCTTTGGTATGCTTTATTCAGAACTCAATAGTGTAGTGCAGCCACTGTGAGACTATGTGGACATTCCTTAAAAAGGAAAGCAACCCGTGAACGAAGCTGCAACGCTGCACTACAAAGGCAACAGCCACAACTGTAAAGGATTAAACTCTAAGAAGCCCCAGCACCTCTGAGTTCCCTGTGATATATAAAAATATTAAACTGAAAGTTTTGCTTAAAATCCTCTGGATGGTTAGTGCATAGGGGACACCTACAAAATATGGTAAATTTGATTTCTATTTTGTTAGCTATTTTCATTAGCAAAGATAACTGAGACAAAGTAATACACCTTTCTACACACCAGTCAAAAAACAATTCTAGGAGAGATCACATAGCTGCAAAGGTAAAACAAGTTGTAATATCTGCCTCCAGACTCTATCTAATTTTTATTATGATGAAGTATTTCTAATTGCAGTTTCAAAGGAAACTAACAGCCTTGTATCTGCATGGAAAACCTGGTGACAAGTAATGCACACAAAGAAATGTTTGTTGAATGAAAAACAAAACCACAAACTTGTACCTCAGACGACACAGGAGACTGTGGGGACACATTAGTATTATCACTGTCTTGCTAAAAAGAAATCAAAGAGATGAAATTACAAAAATGGAAATTATGATTTAACAAGAAACATGAAATTATGAAATACACATTACATGAGACGTGCAACGTTTGCCAAGTATGTGACAAACTGGCAGCAACTAAATTTAAAAACGTGTAAGTCAAGGAAACACTGTTCACTATTTAGGTCGAATATTACTTTCACATTTCCTCTGCTTGACAGGTGAATTAACTTTCCTAATACCTGTATAAATGTCCTACTTTTCCCCGTACACAATCTTGAGTACTTTTTGCAAATAAAGGAGTGTAATACTTCTTTCTGCCATGGCTTTGGAACACAAAGTTTGCTTGCATTGACTCTAGCCAACGTTCTCCTATTCTTTGACTGCAGCTTGTAGGTGTTCATAATAGACAAATGAATAAAACGTTTTCTTAAATATTTTGCACAATTACTATTTCTCACCTCATCATTTTCGTTTCCACTTGAACTCTTTCTGGAAGACTTATACTGCAAAACATACATAATTATTACTTTAAAAATGGAAGTACGGTTTTCATTTGAACTAAATGGTTTGATAACACATAGATGTTACTTATTACTGGTGAAGCTGCCAAGAAAAATAACATGTCACAAAATCAAAGGAGCAAAACAGAAATAAACCAGAAAGAGAACGTCTAGTTTCTAGGCTAGTCAAGATCTTCATTATATTGATGAGAGGATAAGACCATTTTAAAACTAAACACTTTTCTAATGCGAACCCTGCCTACGACAGTTGATCCAAATGAAAAGATCTGAACAACTGCTAGTCTGAAGCATTATTTGTTTGGAAAAAAACATGCAATCTGTGAAAGCTACTTCTACAATATGTTTTGTTATGTAACTTTAAGATTGCTTACACTTCAAGAGATTGACTTGACGTTGTGAAATTTAAATTAAAATAAAAATCAGTATTTTCTTTACAACTTCAAAGCCTGATCACATCCTTTTATCTATTTAAGACCAACACTTATTCCATAGTTCTGTCTCATTTGTTGTGCACTGCCCTCATCACTATCCCACTTCCTGATTATCCTGAAAGTGTAGGAAGTGAAGGAGGGATTGAAGGAAGACATTTACAAAAGCAGTATTTAAGAAAATAAGTGTATTCCATGGTCTGCACAGCAAATGTACAAAAAACACATGCTGCTAGAATTAAAAAGATCCATCACTACAAAACTCTTAAGTGCGTTGTATGTATATGGCTGGCCTGCCCATCTTTATGATATAACACATGACAAGCTAAATTCAGAGACTATCTCTGGGAACTGGAAGGATGGCTCTCCTCCAAAGATCTGACTTTTAAGGGTACGTACGACATTTAGTTAGAAGAATTTCTTAAAAAGCAAGAAAAACCTGACTTGCAACTACATTCTTTTAATATTAATAAACACGAAAACTTACGTAGCTCCATTATAGAAAGTTGTATTTATTAGTTACGCAGAGAAGATGGTTGCTGTCTTCAAAGTTATAACTGAGTACTGTTGGACTGTAAAATTAAACAGCTTTCTAGAGCTGAATTTGCGTTCAGCATGTAGTTCAAAAGCTGTTGATGTTGACAACAATTGTGAACAGTATCCCTCTTGAAAAAACACATCTAGGACAAGCCTAGCCTTTGTTAGCCATCCTACTGCTGCTCATTTGCTGTGCAAATTCACATGCCTTTTGAAGAGTGAGTGAATGAAGTGTCAGCTATTGGTTTGTGGCTTTCTTTTGCTCTGGATTTTTGAGTGGGTTTGTTTTTTTATTTATTTGGAGGGGCTCTGGGGGGTTATGGATTTTTTTGTTTTAGCTGTTCTGTGATGGGTTTTTTTAAACTATGCACAGAGTACAGCTAGTTCTGGGGTCAAATAGAGACCTGTTACATACACCTATGACTGGTCATTTCTCTTATGTTTGCAGTACAAGGCAATATATTACTTTGGCAGCTAAGGTAAAGCCTAATTTTCTATGCCCTGCAGACCTCCACTGCTGACTTCTGTTTATACAAACTTTTGGTCAGTTCTGTGTTCATGTTTTTCCACCATAATTAACCATATCAAAGCTAGCACATAGTAAGTCTTTTCCATTGTGGATACACTAACAAGAAATTCAGCTCGGATGTAGCTAAGACCCAAAACAACTACAAACTATTTCATAAAAAAAAAACCACAAACAGTATTTTGGTTGAGAAAGTCATCTTCAATGGTAAGATTCTTTTTGTGTATTAAATGCAACAAAGATTTCAGGTACCAGTGACAATTCAGTGCAATACCACAATAAAAGTTTGATTCTCAGGGGCATTTTCCTACCCTTCTGCTGCACAGTACAATTGCACAATAAAAATATATAATAAGTATAATAAAGATAGTCTATAAATACTTCTGGATGCTGATCGAAGTAAGTGTTTGCTGTTGTAGCGATGCCCATTGCAGTAATTTGGCATGTATTCTTTAGATATTAATGTTTGGCAGGACACATATGATTATTCAATGAGCTTTTTTGCCAAGAAAACATGGACACAATATGAATGTCTCAGAACAGCAGTGGTACCACCCCCGCCACGCCCCCCAGTTTACCATGGAAGACAGACTTTGTTTCACTTGCTTACTGCCTTGTTTTTGCAAATAAACTATTAGGGATACGGTACTTCGCTACTAGTACAGCCTGCTAAATTCACTTTTGAGACACGTCCATAGCTGTATGCAATGTGATTTCAGGTATCTGCTTCCATCACAGAGCTCAAAAGTGAAATCTCTATTAGCATTTAAAGGCATTCTTTAAAGTTCTGAGGAATCACTAATGGAGGTCTTCTGTATTGATAGCACAGCTGTTACAGCTGTTTAATGACTAAAATGACTGAATTTCGTTTTACTTAGAAGTTTCTCCCCTTCCCCTCAAAGGCTGTAGGGCAAAATTAATTTAGGGATGAAAACTCTGGAAAGAGATCAGTAGAATTCAAACTAGGATACAACTCCATAAACTCTTCAGGAAAAAAATAATAATAGCTTCTATAATGACAAGAATGTAGCTTAGCTGTATGGTACGCTCTGTTTTTCCTAGAATTTAATTTGAAGTTCCCTAGCACTTCATAAAGCTGTTTGAAGGCAAAGACCCAAGAAACTAATTTCTTCAGCGACAAATTTAATTTTAACTCAATCTAGCATTGGTCAGAATTCCCCTATTTTTCTGCCATATCCCCAAACGAATTTTATTTAATGCTGCTGTAACTTCATATCGGTTTTGCAATAAGCAGACACTGACATCTGGTGACGAACTGTGCACACTACAACAGCAAAGACAATTTCCTCTCTAAAACGCAAACCAACATGCTGAGAATCAAAATGTGTAAATCATTCTTATAACCATGCCGCACAGAAAGGTAATGTATATTTTTCTTGCACTAAAAAAAAAAAAAATACATCCCTCAAAATGGATGGAGAAGGACCAACAACTGAAGATTAGTTTCTGGCTTTACCAGAAGACAATTGTAAACTACAATGGGATGAAGTGCACCCTCGGCAAGTTTGCTGACAACACCAAGCTGTGTGGTGCAGCTTATACACTGGAGGGAAGGGATGCCATCCAGAGGGACCTGGAGAGGGTTGAGAAGTGGGCCTGTGAGATCCTCATGAAGTTCAAGAACGCCAAGTCCTTCACATGGGTCAGGGCAATCCCAAGCACAAGTACAGGATGGGTGAAGAATGGATTGACAGCAGCCCTGGAGAAAGGGCTGGGAGTAAGTTGGGAGATGGAGACTTGGGAGTGCTGGTGGATGAGAAGCTCACCATGAGCCGGCAATGTGCGCTGGCAGCCCAGAAAGCCAATCATGTCCTGGGCTACATCCAAAGTAGCGTGGCCAGCAGGTCGAGGGAGGGGAGCCCCTCTGCTCTGCTCTCATGAGACCCCACCTGGAGTACTGTGTTCTGCTCTGGGGCCCCAAACATAAGGACATGGACCTAATGAAGCAGGTCCAGAGGAGGGCCACAGAGATGATCTGATGGCACCTCTCCTATGGAGACAGGCTGAGAGAGATGGGGTTGTTCAGCCTGGAGAAGAGAAGGCTCCAGGGAGACCTTCTAGCAGCCTTCCAGTACTCAAAGTGGGCCTACAAGAAACCTGGAGAGAAACTTTTTAGAAGGACGTGTAGCAGCAATAGGACAAGGAGCAATGGCTTTAAACTAAAAGAGGGGAGATTTAGATTGGATATAAGGAAGAAATTCTTCCCTCTGAGGGTGGTGAGGCACTGGAAGAGGTTGCCCAGAGAAGTTGTTGATGCCCCATCCCTGGGAGTGTTCAAGGCCAGGTTGGATGAGGCTTTGAGCAATCTGATCCAGGGGAAGGTGTCCCTGCCAACAGCAGAGGGGTTGGAACTAGATGATCTTCAAGGTCCCTTCCAGCCTGAACCATTCTACGATTCTATTTTCTTTTATTTAAAGGATAAACAGGTCGATTTTTTCCTCTTTATTTTCCTGCATTCTTACATTACTCTACATACATACATATGTATTAACTTGGAACTGAATCAAATAAAAAAATTACAGTTTACACACAAAATTAAAAGCATGAACAACCTTTGAGGTTTTCCCATCTTTATCTTTACTTAGTTACAAAGTTTCTTCTACTCTTTTTTTTTTTTTTTAAAGTGTCACCCACCCACATTCCTCCCTCATTACCTTGAAATACTCTTTTCTAATTTGTTTACTTCTCCTTCTTTCTTCATTCTGCCAAATCACTGGCTGTGTTTCTGGCCAATGCTGCTCATCCATTGAATCCTTCTGGTTTTCCAGTGGCTACAAGGTTCAGAAATATTTTTACGTAAAAGGTAAATACACCCCGTGTGCATTAGCATAAATTATCATCAGCTACAATTACTAATTGTTGCTTGTCTCATAATCTAGCTTTATGAAATGAAAGTGTTATCAATCTTAATGGTGACTCTGGTAGAAATCACTTATTTCCTTTCAAATCCTAAAATAGATTTTATAGAAGGAAAAGAATCTATGAAATAATTCTTAAGAAAATAATATCCTTTTCTGCATTGACGCTAATTTTTGCAGGTATGTTAGGAAGCTACCTAAGGCTGCCATAAATAATGTCAAAAAAAAACCAGTTAGAAGTGTGGTTAGCCATTAGTTCGTCAATCTGAATACTCATTACACAGGAAAAGGATGCCTACAACAAGATAATTCAAGCACTTGTCTGCTGTTCCTATCTAAAAGATTATACACATCAACAAGCTGTAAAATAAGTCTCTCTTTCAAAGTATTCTATTATGGAATGTATTCTGAAGAGAGAGCTGAAGTTGATTATTCTTCAAATAACAATGAATATGTATGAATGTGTTTATTTTATGAAAACTGAAAGCAGACAATCTGAAGGGACCATTTCATAATAAGGCTAAAACTACATTTCCAACTATTTCTTCATATTAGAATATCAGGCCATTTAAAGCAATTGTAAATACCTGATGAATTAGAGTCTAAAATAATAAAAAAGTACTAACTATGGTTTCACTGCAATTTTATTGTATCATGCCAGCTTCTCAATGAGGTATGGGGAATGGAAGGCCTATACAATTCAAACCATTTAGAAATTTAAATAAAAAGAACATTATGGTGAGACAATAAAATCTGTATGTAAAGAAATACTAAAAGCCAGTAAGTAAACTTATGTCTCATTAGTCTCAAGACCTTAAAGCTAGCACCATATGCTCTTAAAAGAAAAGGCCTCCGTTACATACAAGTCGAATTATCTTGAAGCATAAGTTCTTCAAAGGTTTTATATTTTCCACCACAATTACATACACACAATAACTATGTGTGTAAGCAACCATATGAATGTATAAAAGTTTTCTGTCAGAAAAACAAAACCAAAAACCAAAAACCAAAACAGGACAAACAAACAAATCACTCAAATATGAAGCCACCACATTTACATTTGAATATTTACCTGCCAGCTGTAGGGAGACACTGGGGAATTCACTTCATCTATTGAGACACTAAAAATTAAGATGACAAGCATTATGAAATTTACTACTTTGTGTACTTTAAAACATCAACAAAGTGAACACTATTAAAAAGCAGCTTCTCTGCAGCACTATAGTGTTTTTTGGCTACCTGTACAAGGATGTCACAATGTAGCTAAAAAGTATGACCGTTTGGCTAAGATCTCAAATCATATTTCACTCTTCTTCACCATACACTGACAGTTGGGACTTCCACACTACAGTACTTCATTCATATAAAGCTTTTTCTTAAGCATGCTGATCTTTAGAGATTACTAATGCACCTTCATTGCTTTGTTTCTCAAAGCGACCAACGAAACATTTTGTTCAAAGCTGACAAAAAAAATCTCATCTTCAACTTCTGCAAGACTCACATGCTTCGCTTCACTGTTAGCTCTATACAATAAAGCTAAGCTTATATTAACAGGGAAGGGAAAAACATTTTAGCATGGGACAGTGAAACTGAAAAACCTCAAAAAATACACTCTGGAACATGGACTGTCTGAGATTATTGGAAGTTCTCAGGGAAAGAAAAGTTTAGATTTGGTGTCACTTCAAATTTTTCTTTTTAAATCTTTCTGTGAAACTCGCGTCTGTTGTCTTACTAGCAACCATTTCATTCACATCTGACCGCTGGCTTAGCAGCTGTGCAGTATACCAAAATGCTAACATCTGGGGACTGAATTCGAGAAGGACATAAAACCACGGGCAATCATAATGAATCCTACAGCAAAAGCAACTAGGCACTTAGCTTCTGCTACTTTGCATTCCTTTTCCTTCCTTTTTGTTTCTGTTTGCTGCCAATCAATACTGCCTTTTTAAAGCTGTCAGCATGGAAAACTTGTCTGAGTCATGTCCAACAACTTGATAAGCAATCCAGCTGAGAATTGCAGGAACTGCTGCAATAAACAACTGAGTCTTGCTGTTGATACGAACGTATCTATTAACCATGACATGTTCTATAAGTATAAATTCTTCAGCGATATGACAGTCTTTCTACTCTCTTTGTACATTCCTTACGCAGCGTGTGATTTGTGTTCCTACGTATCAGTGCAATAAAACAACAAATAGCCTGCAACATCTACCCTATCTTGTGTGCACATCTCAAAATTAAGGGGTGGGTAGGGTTTTTTTGAGGCCGTTCTTTGTTCTGTTTTAAAGTCTTATTTGTTGCATTAACAAAAGAAGGAAAGGTAAATTTAACCTTTCCTGGATTACCCTATAAAACAGAAGGCCTAACACAGCTTTGCACTACAATAGGTGACAGCATCCCAAAGAACAGAAACTGTACGGGAAGTAACCAAGGGCTGGAAAGTTCCAAATGCAAATAAGCAATAGCTGCAGCATGGTTCATATGAGCACAGGACATGTGCACAATCAGCCCTTTAAAGCCGCAGATACCAAGGAGAGAGAAGATAGTCCAAACAGGATGTATATCCCATTGAAATACCTACATGGTGTCTCTTTTCTGTTCAAGTAAACGCTTTCCGGATGCGTACCTGAACTGCAGAGAACCCCAGAGAGCTGTTACCACCCACAGCACTCTCTAGCAACAGCAGTTCTGGCTTTTGTCTCCCAGACTCACAGTCACACTACAGTCTGGATACAATCAGATACAGATTCTTTTGAAAGTACAGATGTTAGAAGACTGGCTCAGGCTGGCAAAAAATTACAAAAGCCACTATTTGAATGGAGTTCTCATTAGGAGGCTGCCAGTCAGCTCTCCTCCTTTAGCTTAAAAATTAAAATAGAATATCTGTTGATCAAACTGATTAAAAGAACTGATCTAGGATTCCTTAAGTGAGGGCTGAAAACTTCCTAAGTTCTCTCTCACCCGTATGGTCACAACTGGGAAGCTGTGATTTCCCAACTTCCTGAAGACAAGGCTCTGGGTATTTTTGGTTTTGGGTTGTTTTTTGTGGGTTGTTGTTTGTTTTTTTTGCTAGTGTTTTGTGTTTGTTTTGTTTTGTTTTTTAATTCACAGAAAGAGCATAAGAATACAGCTATTGCAGAAAATGGATTCCTCACTGACACATCCTCCCCAAAATGAAAGGTGTTGCTGGGAGTTCAGCCTGCAAAACTTTTCCAACAGCTCTTAAGAGCACAAAAGGACTGCCAGGGAAGAAAATTTAGAGGCCTAAGCACAGCTACAGTGTCATTTTATGTAACACAGGATCTAACACATCTGCACAGGACTATTACCTCTCAGAGACACAACCTTCTGGACTGAAACTGGATGTCTAAAACACCACTGAATGCCTAACTTTAGGCACCTGAATTGCTGCCATAATCAGACCCACAAATTAGTTTCTGGATGTCATCAACTTTCCTAACGGCTCAGAAGGAAGCTCAAGAACAGTGTATTGTGCAGCTTCTATTTCATCTTGAGCTAAAAAACAGTATGACAGAAGATGGCAGTAGCGACACAAAATAAATAGCAAAATTAAATTAATAAAATATTGAAAGCTGCAATACATTTAAGTATATCAATACCATTTTTCAGATTCCATTGGCTGCTTTGGCCTGTTCCTTGTGCTTACTGAAACTGAATGATTAAGAAGCCTAGAAAGAAAAAAATACATATTTATTCAACAGCTTTGTAGTTAAAACTTTTCCTTAGAATACGTTACTTTCACTTCACAACACTTCCTGTAAGTAAAGTTTTGAACATTAAGGTGACGTTTTCCATAAAATTAGAATATGAATATTCATATACATACACATATGAAATCCAAGCCCAATCCTGTTTCCATTTAAATCAACAATATTGTTTCCAGCTCTTGAAATATTTCAAGTTCTGAATTTCACATAAGACTTGATGACAATTCAAACCAAAATGAAGTCTCTTATTTTTCTCCCTACATACATACTATTTCAACTGATTTCACACCTGTGTAAAGTTATGCTGCCCTCAACACAAAAGTTGCCTCTGTTCACTAAAATTAGAAGACAGAAGATAGTCAACCTAAAGCAGACAAGAAATAATACACAATAATACTCAATACAAGATTGAGTGCAAGAAGTCAGTCAGTAGAAGCAGGTAAGAAGGTAGCTGAGTAAGAAACACTGCAAGTGCAAAGGAAATGGACAGAAAAAGAAGAGGTGAGAAATGGAGAAACACTGGCTAAGAACTAAATGAAAAGTCTAATGCAGAAATGAAGCAATGGAAACAGGAAACGGTCAACAGTCAGAAAAGCCTAAACTTAGAGAGATTCAGAAATGTTTTGTCTTCTGGAACAAACTCATATCACACATGTGCACACACAGCAAGAAGATACGAGCTATTATAGATGTTTAAAGTGTTAAAAATAACAAAACCAGTAACACTGAAAATTTTCAATTAAGCGTCATGTTGAAAAGTGACTAGAATGATTAATTATGAATCCTTGGAAGCAGTGACATCACACTGACACTGACTTCACGTGCAGAACTGAGATTAAAGTATATTTACGCTGAATTATATAGAGAACTAGAATGTATGAAGAACTAGAAAGAATTAGAACACCACCAACTATTCCATGGAAGTAAAACAGTAGGCACCTTTCTATATTTCATTATCATTATATAGGGCAGTACAGTCATTAACTTTAAATGGTTGATGATTTTCAGACTTCTGTGATTATTGCGATTACAAATGAGATTAACAAGCTCAAAGTTGTTTAAATCTCTCACTGTGTGAACCTCAATTTAATGGGATTACGAGAAGTTAAGCCTGTAAACCAACACAGCCTGCAGCATTCACAAGCTGCAGCACCTGCTCCCTAGATTGTCTTCAGAAATATAATTTTCAATGTGCATTCCAGAATTAAATTATACTATAGGCTGAGAAAAGTGTTACAAAAAAAAATAATATTCAGAGCACAGGTTATTAAACCATAATATAAACATGCTATTTTAAAGCAATTTTTAGAGAGAATTCTCATTTAAATTAGTCTCTTGTCTTCAACTGAAAACAATGACAAATTCAGAGGGACTTCGTGGCAAGATGTGACCATTACAATAGAAAGAGCTTTAAAAAATAAACATGAATTTGAGCCATCTAAATAGTTTAATGCAACACTTGGACCAAAAATGACACTACCAGTGTAAATTCAATGACTGTATGTAACACAGGCAATTTTTTTATACTAATTACATGAAACGTACGGAAAAACTATTCAAGCTAATTCAAACATATATTTTCAGCTACGCTGTTTCTATGAAACATATAAACAAAACAAACACAATCATTTTTTAAACTTTCTGTTTAAAAATTGAAGATTAAAGGGGAAGGAACAGCAAGTTCAGTATCTGTCAGGTTAGCGATTACTACTGCCGTCAGAGAAATCTCAATTTCCTGTGGAATATGGAACTCAAAAGTTCTTAGTTAAAGAAAATGGTGAAGAAAATTAATCTGAATTTACTAAATTGCAGACTAAGGAATTAATGGCAAAATAATTTGTTCAGCTGAAGAAAAAAAAAAAAAACATCACTGTAGCCATCTAAGAACTGTCTTCCAGGAAACACTAAGTATGCAAAATGAAAGTACAAGCAGCTTATACCCAGAAGTCAAGGTCTTTTAAGTGTGGTGTTAATGGTGCAAAGATTCCAGCAACTGTTTCTATTCATACTACAACTCATTAAGTCCAAACATTTTTTTTTTGTTAGACAGATCAATTATCAGGCCAATGACTTACTGATGGTCATAACAATCACTAAATAAGAACTTGCGTAAGACACCTGTATTAGTACTTTCCTATTTACAATTCCTACTAATGACATAAATTCCACTGCTACAGAGGTAGCATACAAATTATTAATTTGAAAGTTCTAAAGCTCACACAAACTTTGAAATGTAAATTACACAACAGCACATACACAATGACACACATTTATAGATATTAAACTCAAAAAACAGCATTGTGACTCTTTTTTGCTTCATAGCATGCAAGCATAACATCTAATCCAAACTGCTGACCAGACAGGAGAGAAAGGCGATGGCAAGACCAATTATGATACTGGAAAATATTTTCTAAAGTTTGAGAATTTAAAAAGTGGAATCTCTTCTCAGTCACTTACATTTTCATATTTTGAGCAAACCTAACATCATGATTAAGGGACACAAACGAAGTGAATAATAGTAATGCTATTTTAAGGTTAAGTATCTTCAAGTTTAAACTAGCAAGCACCACCTAGAATCTATAAAGTGTATAAGACACTGGAAATCTTTTACAGTGACACCAAAAAAAAGATGGATTTTAAACTCATTCAGGAGCAGCCTACTGTCTTCACATACGGCTCTGCTTTGTGATCATAAGCTGTGCTCACAGTGATTTAGTCAGTTTTAGGAAGTCACTGCTGTCAGGTAAGAACTCACACTTAACTTTGATGCAAGCTGAAACAGGCCCCTTTGGTACTAATGAAGATTAAATACTTAAGCCACCCTCCTTTCTTTTGAAACAGACTAGGAGTATCTAGAGTACGTTACAGAGTTTCAATTGATAAAGTAACAAAGTCTGAAATGACTGGATTCATCACCTCCATGTCTGCGCACAGGCTACACAGCCCATTACGGATTTCTTCCTACCTGTGAGGTTTGTGTATCTGCAAATGCTTCCCTCGTGGTTGTCAAGTGCAAAACAAAGTGTCACTGATCATGCTAATTTGAAAAAGATCACTTTAAAAACAAGATACCCTTAACAGAAAAAAAAAACTTTTGCCTGAGGTTCTATACTTGAAGTACTATACATTTGTACAGTACTACTTACTTCTGTATAGTGGTACAAAAACCTGAAGAGAAAGCCTGCCAAAGGTACAGGAAATTATGCTTCTAGGTTTGGACTCATTTAAATATGCTTTGGAGAGTTGCCTAATAAAATATTTTCCTTAAATAGTACTTCACCTTCAAGAACAGTGCATTGCAATCTGGTTTTGATAACAAAATATCTTAGGCTAACTTAGCCAATCCTTTGTTCTGTTTCTGTTCAAGAAGTGGCCAAAACTTTCTTTTGTCCACATTTTAACTCTGGAAATCTGAAGCTCTACAAACACTTTGTACCTTGATGCACGTCCTGCCGCCCTTGTCCTCTGGAAGAGCTTTTCACTGAATGAAGTTCTATAGCTTAATGGCCTTCGTCTGTATTCATATTTCATGTACACCAAAGCCAAAGACGGAAGAAGAAAGCAGGACAGGTTGATGGGAAAGGACAGGGAAGTTATTAGCACAGCAAGCAAAAAGAAAAGAGACTGCATAATATTTAAAAACACCACACTGAACGAACAAAAATACAACTAGTAAGAAATTTTTTCGTGATGCTCATTTTTCTGAGGATTCTATTTACTCAGATTGAACTTATTTTCCACAAATAAACTATTCACTAAACTTCTAAATATTATTCTTATTGCTTTTTATGGCAAGAAATTATAAACTCACAAAACTATGGATTCAAAATCAGGGCTAAATTTTATATCAGAGGTGATTTTGCCCCCATGTACTTAAAGACACATAAGCAAGCTTTAAAATATAAATGCTAAACTAAGAAGTAAAAGTTAACAATTAATAAGATTGCATATGTCTGAACAATTCAAGAGCAAAGCAGAACCATTAGCAAGATCGCTGCATCAAGATACAACAACATACGAGTAAAATTTAAGTTGCAGTACATCAGAAGAGGGGCGGCTTGGTATTTCAAACGATTAGAAAAGTAGGAAGTATTAAAGCTAATCAAACAAGACCCACATGCAATAGAAATAACTATCATATAAAAATCTAAAATAAGAAAAACATATTTATTCTTTCTTTATTAATAAATTGATATGAGAAAATTAGCATTCTTAGGGTTTTTTGCAATACTTTTGGTATTAGGATGTATTAGCAATAAGATTTTGTTCTTACTTTTCCCTTCTCAGTGTGAACAACGAATTCTTAAATATGCTGCATAGAGTTATAAGTAAAATCTGTTTTATCTTTTGCCCCCCGTCCTGGGTTTGGCTGGGATAGAGTTAACTTTTCACAGAAAAATTGAGAGGGGACACAGCACAGGCAGCAGATCCAAACTAGTTAGGGGGATATTTGACACCATATGATGTCATGCCTGGAGTACATATTGAGAGAGCCAGCTGGGGGAGGGCTGTTATTATCACTCCTTTCTCAGGTTTTTGTACTGTCCTATTAAACTGTCCTTATCCCAACTACACGGTTTACTCTTTTTTTCCCCATTTTCTCTTCCCACCCCACCGAGAGGGAGGAGGGAGCAAGCAGCAGCATGGTTGCTTAGCTGCCAGCTGGGCTAAACCACGACACTGCCCTACACACACACTACTGCTATTATATTTAACTAACATAAAATGCTGGTGAATGTTTAAAGCTCTGCACTTCACAGTATCAGAATATCGACTTCTCTAAGGGCTTCATGTGTATTTCAACTATCTTAGAAGAAAAACAGCAGTGCAGAATCTCAGCATTGCACAGAAATTCAAAAGAAACAAAAGTAGTATTTAAGCTGGTGTGAAGCTAAATCCATTACTGTGAGATAATGAATGACTAATGAACTATTTTAGTTAATGAACTATTAACTACAACTTCTGCCTTTCAGGAAAGAGCTTACTCTCGCCAAGTACCTCACTGGTTATTTGCCTGCTTGGTAAAGGAACCAGTTAGAACACAGTTCCTACTCCAGCCTGTCCACATTCTATGCAACTCCTTCCTGCTCTTTTACACAGCTGTTAATTTATTCTATTACATTCCTTTAACCTGCTGCTTGTTCTACAGCTCCTTTTCAAGAATCATTCTGTTGTGATGCCTAATGAAGCGGAGAAAGTTGGGCAGTTCTTCAGGATGAACTTCAACTGTTCAAATTATTTCTCTTTATATGTATTTCTAATATAGATGTGCTCTGTCATCTGACAGGGTAATGTTTGAACAATTTCCTCTTCAGTCCATAGACTGAATGGAGGAAGTACCACCTAAATTATCTCGTATTTGCATGAAAAAAACAAGTCACAGACAAACTGTATGCAGGTTCTGTAACCCATACAAACTAAGAAAAGCCACTTAACACATTACCAATAATCTACGTAAGTAGGCATGGTTAATGCTCATATAAGTATAGTATATTGGAAAAAAAAAAAGTATAAATACACCAAACTAGGAAATCAAGAGCCCTTCACATTCACCTCTTCCGCTCCACGGGAGGCACACCACTGCTTCTCTACACAGCAATACTACGAAAAGAAACATGGGACAGGGATCTTGAAAGAGTCTGTCACTAACTGTTTAACAGCTGGACAAAACTGTTCTCAAAATGGTAAGGTGTCAAAAGCTTTTGGGTAAAAGGCAGGTTAAAGAATAAATTAGTTGGAACACAAGTTATCTTAACTAGTATTGTAATACCTGTGTTTTTGTTCTTGCTGCAGTAACTGAGCTGCTATTTTTCTCAAGTCAGTCACTTCTTTGAGGTCATCATCATCTTCAGCCAGCAGCTGTTCTTTCTGAAGTCTGAAAAATTAAAACATTGGTGACTTGCCTGACTTCACTAAAGGAAGACACAGAAAGGGCCACATGACTGGACAATAACTAAGAAGTGCTTCCCATGGCTTATTTTCTGTCCAAGCAGAACTCCATTTGTTCAATATGAGATTTCTTTCCTCCACATGCAAGTAGCTTAAAACAAAACCACCCTCACCGCCCTCTGTCAGTAAAACCTTCCCAAAAGAGATCAAGAATATTTACCTTTTTTCATCTCCCCAGTCCTCATTCTGTTCTATTTTCTGGGATTTCTCAGGATGTTTTCCCCGTTCCTTACGCAGAATGAAAAATATATTTAGACTTAAATTCAAAAACAACCAAGCCTGCTGAACAGTTTTTCTGTTGTCAAGCTATACTACCTTAATATAAGACAGCAATGGTCCAATGTGTACATCTCCTTGCTCAGGAACAGCTCCCTCTTCTGCATTCGGATCAATGTAATCATATAGCTCCTGGTCTAGTGAGGATTGATGAAAAATGGAAAAGATGAATTCAACAGTTCTCACAACTAAATGTTATTCCTGAGAGAGAAAAGTACTTAGGAAAAACATCAGCTAAAGATAAAAAAATGAAATCGTGTCTACTTGAGCCAGAAATAATCTTTTCTTTCTTTCTGACCTTAGCTATTTAATTATTACATTGTCTTCTGAAATGATGAAAATACAATGCCAACATGTGATTATATAATTTTGTGCAATTTTCTTCGATTAGATTACTGAAGCAAAAGCATTTCTGATATCTAAAATGACAGATGCACAACAGATATTACCTTTCTGCGGATCGAGTTTACTTCCTGTTACATGATTGTCATTCCTTAATGTCTGTTCCCTTGTTGATTCAGATACCTGGGAGTGAAGGCTGATTGTATCATCATCAGATGGCTGCGAAGACAGTCACATTTAATATAGAACTTATGTACAAATATTATTATTATATGATTTGCTAAGAATGCAAAAATTATAGTGCAGCTGACCCTCTCATGAGGGATGGCTCCCAAGACACAGAAAATAGCATCAAGTCAGGTGAGGATTTTCTGTCATAGTTTAGGGAATGACAGACAATTGTTCAGCATTTAATACTGAAATACAGCGTTTTCTTCAAAGAGGTCTAGTCCAGCCCTGGTCAGTGGACTAAGAAAACTGTAATTAGGTACTTGCCTAAAGCTTCCAACTACTTCAACTTTTGTTCAACCTGGGGGGGGCTGGGCAGGAATAACAGCTTTACTTCTAATAATTTGCAATTTTCTTTAAAAAATCCCAACTCATAATACTCCTTGTTCTACAGTTTTCCCACTAACAATCACATTGCATTTGTAATAACTCTCCAAGTTTCAAAAATCTTTTGTTCTGCACTATTCAGCTTTGACATCATTGTTATTAATTACAGCTCTTTAATATAGATCTACAAACACACACATAACTTGAGATTTTGTTCACTTTAAACCTAGCACATTTAAAATTTATTAAAATTTCAACAATGAGGATTACTAACACTCAAGTTTAGTCCAAATAAACTTTCATTTTCTTAAATACCTTAATTTCACTAATAATAAAGGAAAGTTTCATTTTTTACACAAAAGACAAAATTTATTTGATCATACACTTCACCTATTAAAAGATCCAAGCAATTTCTTAGGTCAGAATTCATTTTTTAAATGTACAAAATTTGGACTGGAATGAACCTTGATGAGAAACATCAAAGCAACATACAAATAACTCGTGTCTGATACTGGCAGTCTAATGGTTTAAACTCAACTGTACAGATACTCAAAGAACATTAAATGCAACTTAGTTCAGTATTTCTCAAATTATACAAAAAACAAAGGGAAAGAAATTCTAAAAAACAGAAATTACACAAATTCCACAGTGAAAAATAACTCACTTCTGTTGTGGACAACCTTTTATCCCCATTATCGCTTCCGATGCCAGAGTCTGGTCCATGATTTTTATTGGGATAAAAGTCTTCCATGCTACATTAAGAAAAACAACATACAAAAAAAAAACCCACACAGGAATGAAAGCAACAGTAGTTTCACTTTTCTGAAAGAAAATAAACATCCTTTTAAAAATATGTTCTCTATACTCATCTACGGTTCCTGATACAGAATTTTTGCACAATGCCTCAGGTGCAGAGAAAAAAATTCTTAATCTCCTACAAGAGTCGTTCAAGAAAAAAAATTCGAAGCAAAGTTAAGGTGGAAACAATCAATTATGGTACTCTCTCTATGTCTATGCAATTTTAGAATTGGTCTATTTCATTCAAAAACGCCATCTTTAGAAAAGACAGCTTCCCCTGAAAAAACACAATTCCTTGAATTCTATTGGCAGACATGGTCTTCCACTAGTAGAAAACATGTATTTCTTAATAGACTGTCATATTATGTTGGTTTAACTCTGTCTGAGCATCTGTGAAACAATTCCTCCAAACCTATGCATTTTGAAGACATAAAATTAGCAGCATCAGGAGGATGTGTTTTCCAGTTTTGCACTGAAGTTTGGTTTACATCCTAAGATTATCTGGCAAGTTTAAATAAATAAATTCTCACTGCTACAAATACAATGTACAGCAGTAACATCCATGACCTTGCTCCTTTGCAATACATTTTAGTTGTAGGCCTGAAGTTCAGTGGAGGCTTTTGGGGAGCAGCTATGGACTGCAGTTTTTAGGAGCATTTAGATGCCATCTACACACCCTGTGAACTAACTCCCTGTGGCACAGCTGCCCAAGACCGAGACACGGACTGAATCTGATGGTTCAGATGGTTCCACCAAAGCTTTATTCGTAACTTTCATCTTTCCTTCAGCCTTAAACATAGAGAGGCACAAGTTGCACATGACATTTTAAGAAAATAGGCAAAAAGGGTGTATTCTTCCTCACAGTTTCCAATGACAAGCCAACTGACAACAGAAAATACAAGAGCATTCCCATTTCATTACTCAAGAGGTACTCAGTACACAATTCCAACAAAATATTCTGCACTTTTGGCCTCAAGTAATCTAATAAAAAAATCCATGGTATTTCACTGATGTTTGAGCTAGTTTCCCTATATATACGTTAATATATGTGGGAGAGAGACTTTCCATCCAACAGACAAACTCTATATTCAGAACATTTATGGGAACTTCTTGTGTATTGTTTTGACGTATCAGTTTGAGAAATAAATAGCTGCGTTTTCCAATAAATTTAAAATAGATCTTTGTTCTGATTGCCAAATCTTTAGCGAGTACAATGAAAATTCTTCACAGCAACTCAGATAAGCCAACTAAATGTCCAGTAACATGATCTCAGAAATAAATACCATGACTCCTAAATAAAAAAAAACAATTGAGGTATTAAAATTAGTTATTATCTGTAATAAAGAGATCACTTTTTAGCAAATGCTAAAGTAAAAAAAAGAATAAATAAACAAACCAAACCAACCAACCACTACTCACCTGTCTGTGAGTGGCTGGGAGGGGATTCGTTTACCTAATGACGGAAGATCCAAAGAATCTGGTTTTTTATCTATTCTGAGGCACGCCTGAATGCTGAGGAATTTAAATATGTGTACTTTACCCTTTAAACATATCTGTTATAAAGCAAACAAAAAGAAAATCTTAATTACATAGCATGTCTTTTTAAAATGCACCCCAACAAATACTTTCTATTCTGTTTGTACCCACAACTTCCCACTAGGAGAAATACAGCTGAAAAAATGAAAACCTGACTGGTATAGCTTAGAACAGCTTCCTCTTTCTTAACATTCTAATGCAAATTACTGAACTAGAATGCTTGAATACTGACCTGTGCTGGTGGTATCTGCATCGGATTGTTATCCAAAACTATAACTTGTAAGTGACGTAACTTTCTGTAACAAGTTGGAATTTCTGTAATTTTATTACAAGAAAAATCCAGCTTAACCAAGGGAAGGTCTCCTAATTCTATATTGGGGGAAACAAACAAACAAAAAAAGCATCAGGTATCTCCGTAACACTTTACCTAATCTACCTACATCAAAGAAATGAAGACTAGTAGCTTACCATCTGGCAAGATATGGAGATTATTTCTTCTTATGTTTAATTCTCTAAGTGACTGCAATTTGCCTATCTGCTGGGGAAGAACCTGAAGTTCATTGCAGCTAATATCCTAAGAAAGATATAACGAAGAAATTAACTGAACATCTCAAATGAAATTAAACAAAGGAAAACTGCTATCAAAACTGCTATAGAAATACTATAAAAATAAAAAAAATCATGTCTTTGTTGTTTTTTTCCACAAAGGGAAGAAGTACTGTAACAAATCTCACTGTTTCTTCAGTATCTAGTGATTCATGTTTCAGGAATTCAATTCAAAAAGTTAAACCAATGAATGATGAAAGACTGGTTTTGAGAGTAAAACTGTAGCCTAGGAGCCAGGAGTTCCTGGTGTAGTTCCTGTACGAGTTAAAAACTTCTGGTGCTACTGCCGACAAATTATTTGGATTCTGCTCCTTTTCTAAAAATTATTTTTCCTCAAAAAACCTTGAAACAATCCATGCAACTAAAAATTTACAAAGAGCAATAGCAGGCTCACCAACTTTTTGGATCCAGGCACTAGAGGGTGACAAAGCTGCATGAAGCGAACACACACTACAGCTATTTCAGTCACTAATTTAACACTTACAGCCAGGACTGAGTCAACAATCACATTGATATAAGACTGTTTCTAACCTTTTTTATTTCTTTTTTATTATAAAATTGTCTTCAGAAACTAGTTACCTAGACTAAGTAACAATGAGTTATCTGTCTGATGAAAAACTGGAAGTTGATTTGAAAGGCAAGCTGAGTCAGTAACCAAAAGCCAGGCCTTACACAAACAAATCCAGCCTCCTTGACTACACGCTTCCAGAGCTTCAGCTTAGGCAATACTTTTGGCAACCATGATGTCTGCACATAGCTGGATGTCTCAACAAGTACAGGCTGCTTGGGATCAACTCTTGTATATCTTTGCAAGTTCTTCTTTGTCCGCGTCACCAAATTTAAGATGGAATTCCCTTCCTAAAAGCATCTTTCTAGCACATAGTTTAGAATCATAGAATGGTTTGGGTTGGAAGGGACCTTAAAGGTACTCAACAGGCAATCTAAAACCAGCTGTGGTTTCCAGCCTGG